GGGTAGTAGTCATTACCTGATTCATTGGAGGACGATTTACAGCAGAAACAGAAACTGCTGCTTGAATATCATCGTTGAACATGACATTACTACTAGTCGATCCTTCCATTCTATTTGATCTTTAAATTTAGTATTAAAGAAAATCAAAAGTGAATAATTTTTCGCCTAAAAACAAAATATACAATGTACTGATTTAAATGAATATAAAGTGTAATATCGTCGTTCAAATGTTTTTTTTTTGATTCCACAAACATGAAAAATATGAAATAAGCCAAAGAATAAGTAATCAAATATATATGGACATGTGTATACATGTCCATATTTGTGTAGGTTTATTTTGACCAGAGGTCATTCTTCTTTTCTGCATTATATTATCCGATGGAATTTTGACATTAAAGGCAACTATTGGTGAGTACTAATTGTAGTAATATTAAGCGAAAGTAAATTAGAAAATGCAAAATGAGGAACTGCCAGAGCAACTATATTATATTACACATTATGGCTATGCATAATACAAACAACACTTGCAAATTGTTAATGCAAAGCTGCTTTAAACTTCATTAGACTTATGCAAAAAGTTGATATAACCAACTGAAGTGTTAATTCCCAAGCACAATACCATACTTCATGCTCACTATTTCAATGCTCGATTGCCAACAGTCACTAGTCATCACAAGCGGAAATGAATTCTTGATAAATGTATTCTGTATTAGATGAGAAATTCAAAATTTATTAAGAAAAAGACGACAATACCTCAAAAAAACGATTAATACTAACGACGATTAACACTTGAGAAGAATGAATACATTTAATTATGTGGAATGTGACAAAGTTGTGGCTAGGAGAGATAAGAAGGAGAGTACTACCAAATGATTAATGATAAGCATAGTGGACAGGTTCCTGTGAAACGATACAACTTTCGGTTTCCTTTTCACTCTTATCAAGCGAGACTTCTGGCACTGATAAACAAACATCGTACCATAAAACACACACACACTCACAGTTCGTCACTTACACTATATGAATCAAATGATGTATTACTTATGACAGAGTACTTAGTAGTTATTAGGTACCAAATTTAAACACTGCACTAGTTCTTTGATGGAACGCAGTATTGGTACTCTCTGTTGTCTTTCATGCACGGAGTCTTACTTTTAAAAATTAGAATTTGGTAAATAATGTGTGTGCAAATACTCCCAGCACGTCACTTTTTATTTCAACAAGTTAAAACTTTGTGTAATCATATCCACCACTTTAAACGTTTACAAATGTTTACCAATTTTAACAAGTTTCTCGAATTCATTATTGCAGTACTCTACCATATTAACATTGGTTGATGTAATTGAAAGTTTGGAAATATTTAGCACTTTAATTTTAAGTTCAAGTGATAAATCAATGTTATAAGAGTGATTTAATTAATGTATTGAAAGTCAACTGTAATTTAAGAAGTAATCCGACATTTTACTGGATGTTGACTGTGTTCCAGAATGGTGTCAATCAACAAACTCGCAAGCAATGCTAATTATCCTCTAGTTGCATATTTCTTGAACTACACTGTGGAACATGCGATGGAAGAGCCCGCCACATTGAAAGTAATTCAAACAATTCGATCAAAAGACAAAATTATTTGCTTAGCACTTGTCCTATCAGATTAACAAGCGATTTCAAATGCAACGATTCACATAATTTGTTAGATACAATATTGGTATATGGGGTTCTTGACAAATAAGATTACTCTATCATCGCAGACAAACGTAACTGCACCTCTCGCATAGGAAATATCAAGCCATCGTATTCATTTGACAGCTTTTTATTAGGGTCGAAAGAAACCGAAATCCTGCTGTTGCTGCTGCTGAACTGATAAATCCAAGTGCTAAATAAACCATACCATAGTGATAGCTCTCTTTTTGCTAAATAAACAAATGAAACATGCAAAACCTGTATTTTATTTATTTTGCACCAATTAAATAAAGCACAAAGAGTAAGGACTTACCACACAGAACTATATTTGAAGCATTTTCAAATTCTCGTGCAATATTTGCTTTTATTTATGAAGGAAAAAAGGCCACAGACATGGTAAATCAGACAAGGAGAGTAGAAATGAAATTCTGCACGGTTTTGCAAATAACTGTCAAGACATGCAAGATAATTTCCGCATTTGAGTTACATATGAAACATATCATCAGGTAAACTACTACATACACTAACCATAAAATTGAGAATTGAAAATGTAACAGAACATACCCCGTATAAGAATGATTATGAGTGACATAAACTTGTAACAGTCATACTCTTACCAAAATTAATAAGCCAAAAATGCATTTATGTCTAAATAAAGTGAAAATTTTGTATACTCGGTACAAGACAAAAATTTTACAAATTTGGGCATAGTAGTTCAAAAACTCGTAATTTTCTACGGCTAAAGTTGGAGGACTTAAAAATTCTTGAATTTTTATATCTTGACTTTAATGATTATTAAATGGACTGTGGTACATAAATACAAGCACAAGTGCAGCTGCACGTTCTCATACTATCTAAGTGAAAGATGCGCACAATGCACATCGCAGTTTCGAGCTCTCCGAGTGGTGATTTAACACTGTGAACACAATAACTGTGTGCAAAAATACACGACCAAAGTAGATTTCATTTACAAGCATGAAAAAAATCAAAATACAATGCTTCAAAAAACATAGACTTCGAAACCGCGAATACATCAAAAGTTAATTTGAACCATTTTACATTTAACAAGAAATAAAGAAAATAAAAATTTCTGCAACTTAACAATTAAAAAAAATTACAGGACCCGAGTGTCAACCGTAATAATACGTAAGAAAATAAACTAACAAAGTAAACAAACTTACAAAATTGAAGAATATAAAGTAAACAAAGCTCGGTGAGAAGAAATACGATAGATGATAGATAGAAGACGAATGAATTGGCTTTACTTCACAATGGACACTTTTAGACCCACACAGATCAATTATTTGCTTTACTGAAATGGAAAATGGAGAAGTAAAAAATATTTCAGGGGCAAAAGCTACCACTCATCACAATAAATGAAAATATCACAAGAATACCTACCCGCAACACTTGTGAAATTCTAGAAAAATTCATTGAATTATTTTACAAAGGAGTAGTGAATGAAAGAAATGCTGTGAAACAAATTTTAGTACTGCATCGAATATTGAAACAAAATAGTTCAGCAATGAATCAAGCCAAATTTGATAATTAATTCGCAAGACTCGTTGTAATGCATGATAATCAGTCAATAACTATCTTATTACTGCACTAAGTTGATTACATTTCATATCACCGCTATACAACCACCTTAATGCAATAATAAAACTTTCCACACCCGGAAATTCAATTACAAACCGTAATTATGTCCACCCTTGTAAATGCCTGAGTCGACGAAACAATGTAAAAGGGAGAAAGCAATATTTACCTATGCTTGTTTGTTGCATAAAAAATATTCGACGCACACTTAATGATTGCGAGGAAAAATTAAAAGACGAACCTAATCTAAGTGAAAAAGAAAGTAAACTACAAAGCTGTCTAGCAAGGAAGTAGTCAGAAAAAAGTATTCGAAACAAGTCACTGACCGCAAAAAAAGACAAAAATGACCAATAGGCTACATCCAGGTCATGAATATATGTAGCACAAATGTACACTAGTAAAATTATTCAACAAGTGCCTTAGTAGAAGAATCATTGAAAATAACTCGCATCAACAAATAAATGCTTGGAAAGATACTGGAAGGGGTCAATTATATGGTGTTGAAATGAAAATTAATTACTGAGCATGAAGAACAATAAACCAACCAACAAAGCTCTCATCTTTAATGCAAGAGGGCTAACACAGAAATAGATAAAGCATAATATGAATGATGCTTTCATAAGTTTGCCATATACTAATCATTTCCATATCTTCCAGGATTTACGATATAAAACTCACAAATTGTGCAAAATAGTAGTATATTCTCACCTACACGTACCTATTTCACTAAAAGTCAATATTTGCAACCAAAAAATCTCATGACAACTAAACTACATGCTACAAACTTGACATCAACACCGTACCAGTACAGCAAAGATAAAATCTATGAAAACAAGAATACAGAATGTCCCTAAACATCACAAATGATGTAATAACGAAAACTATTTATGAATACGACGCAAACTGCACTCCTGAAGAAAGTATCATTTCCTAGCTAGCTACAAATGCAACAAATTAAAAACGGTTTGCCTGTGGAGGAAGAAGGAGAACACAATTGATTGATTAGACTCAGGATGGAAGCAATACAGAGAGAGAAGAAAGAGCAGCCTAGAGCGATGATTGATTTGAGGATTCAGGCAGTCAATGATAACATAACAAATTCGTTTGAATCGAATACACAAACACTAGCATACAATTATTCCGTTATAAAGCGTAAATAATTGGATAATAATTGAGCGGACATGACAAGAATAAGTTTTCAGCCGACTTAATTGAATGAATTTTTCTGAAAATGCAACACCGCTGACTATGATAAATTGAATTCCACAAAAATAATGCTCGACCCTGTTTCTGAAGGATTGCTACTTGATAGATCGTTCGAATCTAGTAAAAAGGAAATCGACAAAAGTGTGCTTCAGTTAGGTCCATTAACGAACAGCTAAGTAGAATGAAGCAGTTAGGTCTTGTGTAATCCCTGGGGAGTGTTGAAGCTATAAGAAGCATAGAATGAGATAAAGAGCTTCTTGTGGACCAATAAAAATACTAAGAGAGTGAAGCTGAGCTGAGCTGAACCTCGAAACACACAAAGAAGCAATGAATGGATGAGTTTGGCACAAGACAAAATACGTTACACATCATTCTTCATCTAACCCTCTTTGTCAGCATGTCAATAAGATGACTTGAGAAAACTATTAAACATGTTTCAATCCCTACCAACACAAACTGTACTCCGACAGAAGCAGGGAAGAGTAAAGAGTTCTGCATCAACAGCCTAACTTTCCATATCAAACCGTGCTATTCCTCACTGTGATTGCATCAGCGATGGTTTGTTGCGCAGTCTGAGACATTGCTACCATTCCTTGCTGCTGACTCAATGCCAGTAATGAGCTGACTGCACTATGAGCTAATCCACCAGTACCATTTGGTGACATCAAATTAAGACCGCTACTTTCTGAACTATTTAGGCGATTTTGTTGCTGCTGTGCGGCTACTGCTACTACTGTGGCGGCGACTGTAGCTGCCTGCTGTTGCACTGCTACACTTCGCTCCACACTACTAGCATCTGCGCTTGCAACCGTTGTTGCTTGGTTGCATCCTTGATCAGCACTGCAATATTTCTTCTAAGTCATCAAAAAAGCTTCATTGTACCCTACTCACACACAATAACATTTAAATCTGTAATAAATTAGATCAGATTAGTTACATCTAAGAGCAACATAAATCACAACAGACTTTGTCGGCTCAAATTTTATATGATGAGAGCCTGCATGTGGCAAATGTGCATTCACTGAGAGAGGCCCACTTGCATGAGTTGATTCGTGTCCAAGCTGTTGAGAACGCTGCCTGAAGGCTCGTCCACAAAACTGACAGGAAAATGGTTTCGCACCTAAATAATTTATCACGCCTGCTAAAGACAAGGAAAAGATATATTGTCTTTATTCACAATTTCAAATAATTTAACCATCCAACTTAATTAGACTAAATCTTAAATGTCTCATATTTTTGATGGTTTCTAATTGGGTTTCAATCTTTCCTTCATTTCTTCCATACATGAACTTACCTGTATGGATTCTCTCGTGTTGATCCACATGTGATTTTTGTGTAAAACGTTTAGGGCAATAACGACATTGATAAGGACGATCGTTCGAATGTATACGCAAATGCTGCTGCAAACCGCCACGTGCTTTAAATCGCTTACCGCACTGCTGACACTCATGCATTCGTAACAGTCGGCATTCTTCCATATGAACCCGCAGCTAGAAAGCTAGCATATTCACTATAATAAGTACTGGAAAAAAGTAAAGAAGTGATCAAGAAGATGACGTAATCTTAATAAAACATAATTAATAACCAACGGCTGTAATATGCAAATATTCAGTCTACATTGACATCCCAATTTTAAGTGAACAACTCTACCGTGATCAACATTCTTAATTAGTACATAAATTCTGAGCAGCTAACTCTCCAGCGCAGAAGGTAAAGCTAATATCAATTCTGCCTAGAAGTAAAACATACATTCGTCACAGTATTTTCAGAAATCTTTTAAGCGGAGATCCTAATATAATTTTCCTCCTATACTCTTAATCTGAACCTCTCTAGCAAAAAGATTTTTAAAATTCATTTACTACGTGGAACACTTATTGTATCATTCCACTAATGATAGATGGACGAATATCTGATAAATATTGCTCCAATGCATAAATATACCATATGTTAGTAAAGCAAGAGATTCACAAGCGAAAAAATTTCACACTCATATTGGTAAAAGTGTAACAATCATTTCAATTGCATATCTTAACTCCCAAAAACCCCAATCTTGTCTTACGTAGTAAAGAATAAGCAGTCAGTTATAAAAATAGCTTTCAGCGTTTCTTACAGTTTATCAAGATGTTCTATCAATTTTTTTACCATACTGAGTGTACTTTGGTGCACTGCATTTAAAAAACATCTACTCTCTCTTATTTTGTACAGAATTCAAAAACACCAATAACTAGAAGGAATTTTTTAAACTTTAATTTCCGGCAACTATGTTTTCATCAAAACATGTGAAACCTAAGGAACTAGTGAAAGATGTTATGAAACGTCTGGAAAAGAATGGAGCTTCAGAAACAACTCTTCATGAATCCGAAATTATCGAAATATGCTATCGATCAAGAGAACAGGTTTAAAATATATACTTCACTGATCAATGGAGTTTAACTGTCAAAGAGACTGCAACATTGATATATTGCAGCTGATGTGTGATGAGTCAGTGTTGGATTTGCAAGTACCAATCACCGTTGTCGGCGATGTTCATGGTCAATTCCAAGACCTAATGGGAGTATTTGAACTCAATGGACATCCTTCAAAAAAGTTCTGTGCATAAAAAAAATTGACTGTTCATAGAGTTCTTTCTTATAAATGAAAGCATCAAGGAAAAACTATGTAAGACAATACATTTAATAAAGAGCAATCAATCACTTTATATAAATGGTACCATGATCTATTACTGCTTCCACCACACATACGACTACTACATGAGCTCACGAAATAGAATGCATTGTTATCGGTATTACTCCAAAGACACTGCTTTCCAAAGAATATTTACATTAATCTATGAAGCAAAAATAGTCCCTCAGTATATATAGCCATGTTTTCCACTTTTTACTGTTTTGTCACTACTCACTCACAAAGAGTAACTAACTTGTTAAACTCTGCACTGGCATCTTCTCAAATATTGATGGGAGCACTGTAATGCACAGTGCATACTCAATGATGAAAACAAATTTCTAGTAAACGTTCCAATGAAAATATCTACGATTACCATTGAATAACACGATCGAAAGCCATGATATGCAATACACAATGACCAATCAAACAGCATATCCATCAAAGAATTCAAAATTCAGAAAAACCGTAGAGAGAAAAGTTATCAAGAAAAGAACACAAAAAAAAACCATCCTCCAAAAAGTATCAAAAACTTGATTTCTGAATAAAATCATTCTTATATGAAGCGATGTTTTAGGAAATATTTATTTCTCGGTGACTACGTTGATCGGGGTCAATATTCCATTGCAACCATAGTCTTACTACTTTGCTATAAGTTACTATATCCAAAAAATGTATACTTATTGCGAGGAAACCATGAAACACGACTGATTAACAGGTTCAATCACACTTTTTTTTCTGGATCTAAATTTAATAAAATGAAACAAGGTAATTATGACAAACTATTACTCAGGTTTCTTCCTTGAATCAATAAATATTTAACAGGGTTTACGGTTTCTATGATGAATGCACTAAGCAATACAGCACCAAACTATGGATGCTGTTTCAAACGGTTTTTGATTGTTTGCCTCTTTGTGCCAGAATAAGTGAACGCATATTTTGTATGCATGGTGGTATATCACCTGAAATCAAACGTTGGGAAACGTTGAAGAAACTTAGACGGCCAACGGAAATACCTGATTTTGGCGTACTCTGCGATTTAGTCTGGGCTGATCCTTCCAAAAACGTAAAGCAATGTTATATACAGAAGCATTACTTACTAATACATTACCAAACTCATTAGACCAAAAAATTATCGAAAATTGGGTGGTAACTTTATAGGACAAAAAACTACTCAAACTCGAAAATGACACCCAAATAACCTTGTCTTATTCGATCTTCAGCGACTTTACACGATAAATATCCATCTGCCCAGTTCCTTCCCAATAAAGCATATAATTCTGTACATGCTGAATCACAAACCTACGAACATGTAATAGTATCTCATATTCATAATTTTTATCACTACTGAGAAAGATTACTTAAACTCTAGGTATACGGTTTCTCGGAAAATCCTCGAGGAGTATCCTGCATATTTGGAGAAAATGCCGTGTATGAATTCTGCCAAAATATGAAGATAGACATGGTAGTGCGGGCTCATCAGGTATGCTGCGAGCTGAGAAAAATCAGACAATTTAAGATTTGCTTTTCGCTATTCTTTATCATCAGTTATTTGCATGATATTACATAAAGGCGATATTAGCCAAATGACATCTTTCACTGTATTACACAGTGCTGAACAAATCATGGACTAAAAATTATCTTCATGTTTTGACAGCTGTCTAAAATAATGGTGTAATTAACCACAGGTTTTTCTCATTTGATGAATCAGTAGCAAAAAAAAAAATGAAAAAATGTTAATTTCCTCCACCTCATCTCAATCACAATGATAGAAGAAGTAAATAAAAGGCAAAAAAGAAAACACAAAGAATGACAGCAGTTCGGCAATAAACATTATGCGGCGATAATTACCATGCTATTATTATTTCTTTTCCATTTTATGATGTAGGTGGTGCAAGATGGTTACGAATTCTTCGCAAATCGTAGGTTGATAACTATATTCTCGGCACCATTCTACTGTGGTCGTTTCAACAACGCAGCTGCAATGATGAGTGTCGATGATGACATGCGATGTCAGTTCTACATCCGTCGACCAAAGGATCACGCTTGGTCAAAAAAAATACCAAAAAGTAGCATGAGAGCATTAAATGAGTTTTCCGATCTCACTATAGCAGAGACTGTATCAGTTAAGTATTTTATTAAGGACCTAGCAGAAGAAAACGTAAGAAAGGGAAAAAACAACCCATCATAATGCTATCGACAGCCGGTGACAGCAGTAGGAAAAGCACTCGCACGAAAAGTACCAGCAAAAAAAGCATCAGAAAGGGTAGAGGAAAATCGGTAAGGAACTCAACTAACTGGAATACCTTAAATAATGACTTGAATTCAGCACATCTAACTATCAACTTCGGCTTGGGTAGTAAAAATCTCGAGCTCTCTTACAGATTTAGAACTGAATAATCTTAATTAATAAACTGCTGAAAAATGTATTACAGATTCAAAGAACGTCTGATACATCCACGACAGCAAGTGAACAATCAGAAAAAAGCAGTCAATATGTAATAAAAAGGGAATGACGCCAAAGTGAAAATTAAATTCAATAAATCTTCCTAGAAGAGAGAATTTACTACTGTAGACGATGCTCAGATGTTGCTTACTTCATGTTAACTAAATATAATACTAATCAATTTATTTGCACAAAAAGTTATTTAACACACAAATAGTATTCAAAATAAACTTTTATTTAATGTCCAAGTAAACACGTGTACACTTGTTTGATTAACATATTCATGACACATAAAATAAATAGACTCTACATAGCGTTTGCACTTTTGATCAAAAGATAGAAAAATTAGAACCGAAAATCTTTTCATATTGATATTTTAATCAAAAATGAGCATTCCTACTCCCTTAGAATGTATTATAGAATTCAAAAAACAAACCACAGCTTGATCAGCCCATTTCTTGGGACAATAGTGACATTTGATTAAGCCGTCATGATGGTTTGAACGATGTCTAGAGCGCAATGTTGCAACATTTTGAACATTACCATCTCGCGAACTGCACGCCTGTTGTTGCTGTTGAGAATTGTTGCTTGGTCCTAAGTTATGTTGTTGGTAGGCAAGATTGAATGAACCTGGAATTCTATTCTGACTTAACACATTGTATTTCAAATGTTACATTAGTTCCTACACAAGGCAAAACTGATAAAAAATAGTAGACATAAAAGTTGTAAGCTGTGTTTACCTACTGTAGAAGCTGAAGGCATCATTTGGTTTAGTGACACACGAGGTCCTAGATCACTGCTGCTTAAATGCCCATTTAACTGACTTACTCCAAATAATCGACCTACGTCCATCTTGTTTTCTATAAAATATCATTCTCTAAAATACTGAAATTCTTTTCCGTCGAATCTTCAAACAAATGAATATAAAGTTTGAATTTCAAAAAAAAACAAGAATCACCTTTCATGAGACTTGTTACATCCACAGGTGATTCTGAAATTGATGAATCACAGAATGAATGAATTTCAAAAATTGAGCAACATAAAAAGAATGGATAGTAATCCCAATATTAATCTAATCTGCCTGACAAAAAAATCATTCGAAAAACTGAATGATGAGCCAAAACAGCTGTGAAGATATACTCAACTAAATCTTTTGAAAATTTCAAGTGCTCAGATTTGCATATAATTCCAGAAGTAAAAAACTGTTTTGATTGTATTTGGATTATATGCACTTTACACATTTGGAAAAAAATAGGGATGTATGGACCATTTCCACTTTTATGTGCACCATCTTCCGCACCACGATGTTGATTATGACCACGAATTGTAGTACTGGTGCCTCCCTGTGTGCTCTGCAATGTATCCGATGAGGATGGTGAGCAAGAATTTGGCGACATCTCACTAGGTGATGACATGTTCTCCCGTGCCCTGAAACTGAATTAATCAAGCTTAAAATTGAGCAGCTCGCTTTCCTACATTTCAAGCGCTGATTAAGCCATCAAGATAATTGTCTTAGATTAGTTTGTACCGTTTATAAAGAAAAGATTGATTCTTAGCGATAATCGCGGGAAGATAAAAATAATTCATCATAATAGTAACTTTAAAATGTGAAGAAAAAGAACAGAAATGAAACTAAACATATTTGTAGAATCTGATAACCTTAAAGCCCAGGTATATTAGCTAAAACAGCATTTTTCACACAAATAAAGAATTGAAAATAAGAAGAAACAATTGTATTGAAGATTTAAGGTCTGAAAATGGAGTAGTAAAAGAGTCTTCACTCTCCACTTCATGCTTTTACCGCTCCATTTTCAAAGTAGAAGCAGCAATAAGATAAATTGACTGTAATAAATTGACTAAATGTGATCTTTACCCATTTACAATGACTTGGGTGTGGGCCCGACTTGGTATAGTGAAAGCTGCTAGACGGCCATGTTCTACACTGGTAGATGCCGCTGCTGATGTATTCATCTTGAGTAGTGCCTGCTCCTTGGCTACTATGCTCGCGATCATATCCAAATCTTGGAACTGAAAATATTAATCATATTTACTGCTTGGCTATCATGTTTAGATTTGCAAAGGTAAGTGATTTTGCAAAGTATCTTTTCCTTGCTTAATAATGTACCAATAATCAGGAGAATACAAAGAAAGCTGCTATTAGCTTTTGTGCTTTCGTCTCAACACAAGTTCAAACAGATAAGTTTATTTAAGACAGCAGCAGCATTCATCATTTGATGTCAACATTCCCTTATTATGCACTGACATGATATAAACTATGTTTTTCTTTGCACGATTTTCACTAAAAAAGATGAATGAGAGGAGAAAACAACAATCATTCTTGCAGTAAGTTGTGAAAAACTGTTGCAAAAATGTATGCTTTATCTGCAACCAAAAATTCTTCATGAATCAGTTTTATGCAAATGTGCCGAAGGAATGAGCTGGAAGAGAGAATTAGAAATAGAACATTTTGGTTAGACCTACTTCTGTTTGGCACTGTGAAAATTTTTTCATGCAAGGATCAACATGTAAACGCTGCAACTTTTTCTCGCTTAGCAAGTAAACAGCGTAAATCTAAACTAAACCATCCCCGTGAAATCGAGCAGGTACGTGAGAAAGGCAGATACCAGCCATCTGAAATATTTCCTGCGAGATGGACCATCAATTGCATCATTTTGGTCATGCACCATAACATTCAATCCACAGTACTCACTAATTATTCACCGTCTGCATTAATGCAACAAAACAGGCCAAGGAGCACAAATCACCGACAACAATAATCGCAGCTACATACAATCAAAAACAATGCAAAATTGCAATGACGTTTGTTACAGAAGCAATTCTTACGATAGCTTTTTTTAAAAATTAAATTTCACTAAAGAAACACAATCATTTTTACATTGTGGCAAGGATTCATAGCTCAAAAATTTTCAAACACAATTTAAATTCATTGCAAACAAAAATTCAGCAAATTCTATTTGCTCATAACTACAACAATGCGAATAAAGAAAAGGACCGAAAATTGCTCCTTTTTCCACTTTTTTCATCGTATGGATTTCCTTCACAGAACGTTTAATAAATGAATCTTATATATGCATTTATTCATGCAGCAGCACTTCTGCTCAGCAACAAAAAGTACAGCACACAAATGTATTTACCTACTACCTACCTACCTGCCAACCCACCTATATTCATTTACAAAACAATAAATCAGAAGTCAACTGCACCTTTAATAAGCACAAACAACGACACACAGCATATCATTATCCATCTATAGCGCAAATCGTTGACTCACTTGTTTTTGCAAAAAAAAATAAAAAATAAAAAAGTAGCAGCAAACAGGACGGAAGAAAGAAAGCATACGTTCGGCATAATCGATAAGTACACACCATAGCAAGCAAATGCAGCTATGCTCTTTATATGTTTTCGTAAGTAAATGTATCTATCTATCTCACTGCTGCATTCCATTCCAATCCCAGCAAAATTTTCCTTTTTTTAATTACTTTAATACCTTTCTCCAGAAACATCTAAAAATTACTTCATTCTCGCTTGTAATGAAAACATTTTGATGACATGACTGTACAAAACACCGTCGACATGGCGTTAACTTGTCGTATGCCATGGATACTGTATATATGTAATGACGTCTCAGCCAAAGGTTCCAAGAAAGAATGCTGTTTTTCCTGTTATAAATGCCAAATAATGAATCTTGCTCTTGTAGTTCGGAATCAGCATTTCAAATAAGATTTGTTGGTGCGAAAATGCACATCATGGCAAGCATAAATGGGAATAAAGTTGAAAAATTAAATGAGTAATTTGCCGCAAAACCATTGCTACACTGCCATAATCAGAAGAAAGAGTTGAGAGGTTGAGATTAGGAAGAGAAAGGAATAGTTAAGAGCAGGCATCATTGAGCTCGTGCTCTAGCAAATGCTACAAATTGCGAAAAGCATCACACATTGATAAGATAGCGAAAGAATGCCTTGAAGAAATAAAATTAAGCATTCATTCATTAAGGCAATGAAGGATAGTGAATGAATGTGAATGACATATGCACCTGCTGCTGCTACTGCTGGTGCAATTTTTTTGCGCCTTCATTGACTCACATCATTAAGAAGAGTTGCAAGTTGAAATAAATGAGATTGCCAAAAGTTGAAATGGAAATCACTGAAGTGAAAAGAGCTCGTAAATGTACACACATACATACAAACACACATACACACACATACATGTACATACATATACATGAGTTGCGCATAAAGTACATGTAAACACGGAAATGTTTCATGAGAATACATGTATGTATTATGTATGTAAATATTTCTGCAGCATTTTGTGGATCGAATTTGAAACGATGGCATCTGGGAGCATAGCTGGTAGCATATTAACTTCCTATGCTGCACAGTGTTTTGTCTTAGATTTGCAATAAAAACAAAATCTTCAAGCAATGCAAGCATAATTTCCATTTTATTAATTGCGCTTCCAGTAAGCCATTGGCGGATGCTTTCGATGCTCAAAGTCATTTACACACACGATGAGCAGAACGATGCAGTGAGCAAATGAGTGAGTCAGTCCCAACAGTGCACTTTATTTAATGACTACTCATGCACTTACTTCGAGGGTCATTCTAAGCCATGGTATCAGTGCATAGGGCAAAAAATTTCAATCAAAACAGCCCCCAATCAAGCAACTGAAGGTGAGGAAAAAAGGCTTAGGGTAGCATTTGCATAGCAATATAAACCTCCACTTGTACTCCTCAGCATACACCAATGCATGTAAAACGAAGCTGGAAATAAATGAAAAGCACTATGCTTCAATATTAATATTACTGATCGATGCTCAAATGCACCTGAAATCAGTAGTTGCTCGTCGTGATATAATGCAAATGACTTCTGCTACAATGACGCATCGGTCAGCTGTAATGCACGCAAGCCGTTCACTTACCCTCGTTAGCAACACTTCTCTCTCTCTTCATTTTTCCCGTAACAGCCAGACTAAGGTGCATTCTTTGCTTCCTTCGTCGGCAAGCCACATAGTAGCACTTGCAAAGTATGACGCAACACAAGACAACATAGCAAAGCATATCAGACAGAACGCAGCGCCGTATATCATACTCTTACTAACCGTTACTTATTGCACTTTACCCTCGCCCTTGCGCTAGAAAAATGATGCACCGCACCCTTTTTCCCATACAGTCAGCGAGCATTGCCTTTTGCCTTTTCAATACAGCAGCGATCACATCACATCACATTCACTTCACTTCACTTCACTTCACTTCACTCGCATGCATCCATCCCATCATGCAACTCATCGATCTATCTATCTATCTATCTATCTATCTGTCTATCATTACTTCTCATCGCCGTTTCTCACTTCATTCATCCGTGTCATCACTACTACTCCACTTCTTATGCAAGAAATCATAAGCTCCTTTTGGCAATATTCTCTTCTACTGTTACGCAAATTCTTGTACTACTTTAATACTACTTATGATACACAACCCCCTGTATGTTTAAGTGTTCTCGTCCACAGTCCATCATGTCTATGAATATTTTAACAACTCATGGATGCTTCTACAAAAGCACACGTTACAGTAGCTAACAACACTTTTTCTCTCTAATATAATGCAGTAACAGCTTTTTTATGATCATCTTATATGCTCAAATACTCCGTACGTTAACTTCATCAGTATTTTGTGTAAAAAACATCAAACCAAAGAAAACTAAATTATACAGCGATGCATAGTGCATGAGACACAAACGACTTGTAAGCATTTCATGATCAACAAAAATTACAGAAAAATGTCTACAGAAAACACAAGTGAATAGACATCACATTCCAATAGTCCTCTTCATAATCAGAACTTCCAAATCATTAAAAGATTTTCACAGCATTCATCCCCTTACTCAGTGACGCATACAGCAACACAAGAACAAATGATAATGTTTTTGTAACATTTACAAAGAATAACTTTATATTACTTCCACGTTTCTGCTTATTACTGCACACAGATCAAACTTTAGAAGCCAAATATTTCATTCTGTAATTCCATACCCAACATTCACAATAAAGCTACACTCACTGATATGGCAATAACATTCTGCATTTACTTGTACAGTTTTTCAGTGAAAATTATATCAGATAAAAAATTTCAGCCTCAAATAAATCAAATGCTTCCAGAACAATAAACTAGACTTTAAAGAAAAAAAGCGTTAGATTTTATTAAATCGACTGCTAAGATCTGAAAGTCCAACTCTGACCTAGCTATTTTCCTATGAAACATAGACATGAAAGATAGAGAATGAAAACATGGAATGTAAGACTGTAAATGATTTTACAAGTATTTGTACTATTACTGGTTATCTAAGTGGAATTTTGATTAAAATAATAAGGTTAAAGTGGAAAAACAAGTTCTTGCTGAACGGAGTTTTTTGGAGAAATATTTTCCTGGAAGTAACAAAACGAGATAAAATTTAAATATAAACTGGTGACTTTAACGTCATCTACTTCATAGCAAGAATAGAAAAGAGAAATAAAAATTTTTGCAACTAAATTTATACAATTCAAGACATTAAATAATTAGTTGAATCAAGCCAGAGCTACTACTATGATTACACAGTGATGTGTACTTAAATATTACTTCTTAGCAAATCAAAATTGATCTGAAATAATTTGACATGCATACAATAAAATATGCATCTCGTTTGCAAAAGAAAGATATCAGATTTTTTGATAATTTTTTTCCTCAACTCTCACTATACACACTTTATGTAACAAAAAAGAATTGCATGTTCGCAAAAAGAAAACAAGAGCATAACAGGACTGCAAATAAAATTTAATTGTTTTCAAAGAAGAAACAGATACACTTTACATGCGTGAAGGAGGATTTAATGTCCAAAAAATGCATAAGAATAATCCACTGTAACAAACTAACTTTAAGAGAAAAATCGACAACTCTAGAACAGTTCTAAAACAAGTTAAAACTCTTTACGACAATCTGTTTATCTGAGAGCATATTAGATGAGTAGTATCTCGTCAGATTTAATTCGTGCCCTTAGATGAGATAGTTGTCGAAAATACTTACTTGATAAAGAGGGGCATTGATTGCATTCATTGGATCTTTTGCTGCTGCTGCAGCGGCAGCAGCAGCAGTTCCATCAAAATTTGGATGATAACGCATTGCTAGCGGATGATTTGTACTACCAACAACTTCTCTTGTAACTCCTCCTTGCTGTTGCGGCAAATTATGTGGTGGAAGTATAGCCATGGATGCCCAAGGGGGCGTCTGAAATAGACTGGCCATGCAACCAGCCTAGAAAATATGTTGAAATTGGTGCACATTGAGAAGGAATGACTAATCTATTAAAATTAAACAAAATTTCAGATAAACTTTGATGGCAAATATAAAATACTTCACCTCACTGCACTTCATGAACTTGGAAATAAACTTACCACTATCATTAATTATACATTACCATTAGAAACAATATTACGATATTAAAAAAGGTTTAAGAAAAATATGAAATTATCAACAAACCTCATCATGACTGCTCATATTTGGTGTATCACTTGTAATTACACAAGTACTACTTGCAGCAGCAGTGACAATTGACTCCTCCTGTTTCAACTGTCTCGAGATATTATTACCACTGAGAAGACGTTGTTGCACAGTTGCAGTACTACTGGATTCGTTGATCTCACCACACACGTCTATATAATTTTTGGTGGAAGAAGACGATGATGACGATTGATTCAACATTACACCCACGTTCAACCTACGAAAAATTCAAGAATGAGAGAATGTTTCGCTGCAACACTATCATTTCACACAAAAAGTGCAACATCTGGGAATTTCAAGTCAAAATTATTTTCATTTTCTATCACTTTCTTTCGTTTCCCATTCTACACCAAATTTCATACCTTTCTAAATTTCTTTCTTTTTTCATTTTCTTCATTTATTCATATTTTTGAGTCAATCAAAAGCAAATATCTGTAATACTTTGCTTCACGTCAAAGTTAACACATTTTTGTCAAAATCACCTTTTTAGCTCCTGAAATAATCTGATAAATGATAGCTATCACCATCCAATAATGCTATTATCACCATAACTTACTAATTTACATGCAATTCTTATCGTTTGGTTAATAATACTGTAATATTCATCAAAAGTTTTTCAAGCGTTAAAAAAATACTAAATGAAGAAATGACCAGTTAGGCTAAAGACAAGTTTGTAACTTTTTGCAAACTCATTATATGCATGCACAACTGAATCCTCTGTACCTGAAAACAAATGCATGTGATGACATGCACGTATTTTGTTAGTTTGTAAGTACAAATTATAATTCCTTGACCAATAACATTTTGTTAGTTTGTAAGTAAAATTATAATTTCCTTCACTAATAGATTTTGGAACAAAACTATCGCTAACATACTTCGTGGCCTTAAGCATGTAAATATATACAGCAAATAATGACGTTTCTCCCGTAATTATTAATCCAATAATTTGTTTTTGATGCAGTTGTCCATCAAGTTTATTTGAATCTACAATATCTCCTAGATTACATTTCTGAAATAAAGCGGTAAATAATGGATTCAGTAAATGTGTATTTAATATTTCCAACGACAATACTTGATTCTTTCCTCTTTTTCTCTGTCTCTAAAACGGATATATACTTTTTTCTTAAGCAACAAATTGTTTATAAAAATAAATTATTTTAGTAAGTAATTTCAGGAAAAATTATAGCTAATTTGTTTTTACTTCAAATAAGGTCTAAATAATATATGTACTCTCTTCTGAGGCAAAATATCAATACAAATAATAATCACAAACAGTATACTATAGTAATTAGGAAACTACTTAATGTAAAGTAAACACGATAAATATTTAAAACATGTAGAAAGAACACAGCACTTGACTATCAATGGAAAAGCATGAAACATGTTGTAACTGATTAATATTAAAGATTTTAAATCAACTTCAAAGGACGGACAATGACAATCTCCTCTTGACCTTTGTATGCTTTTTTGGCTAAAACAAGCCATGAAAAAATAACTGAGTTTAGTCTTTTGTTCATCTTTTGAACTCATTTCTAACGATAAATAATGAAAGGGAAGGTAAAAAAAGATACTTCAAGAACGTCATAGAAAAATAAAAATACTGAGTACATAATTATTAGAAATTAAACTTTAGTTTCATAAACTAATCATTTAAAAATTAAATTAATGAACAAGAAATATAAAATATTTTGACATACTTAAAATTATTAAAATAAATGTACTAAAAAATGTTAGCACGGAAGATCGGAATGTTTTTTTTGAGGAAAATAAGCATTAGCTTAAAGGTAAACTCTTCCAAACTGTTTAAAAGGTAAACAATAAAATAATCCGTTACACTAGGAAAATGCTCGAAAATCAGAACGATACCCAAATTAGCAACACCGCCCTACTCCTTACTTACAAGCTTTTTCATCATACACTTACTTCCTTAGCAAAGATGAAAATTATAGAGTAACTCCTCTCAAGACACGAGCTCTTTACAGTAGCTTCAAATTCCTCAGGTTTCTAAACCCACTCTTGACCCACAATCTACAGAACTGTACTAATAGTTTGATGCATAATACTCAAAAAATTTTTACTTTTAGGTGCTGAAGAAATTTTATAAACTTTTTGTAACTTTAATATCTGATCTTCCGCTATGCTTTTCATTAAATTGTTTTGACATATATATTATTTTATCGATTTCACAAATAAATGTCAACATCTTTACATGTTCACTTGCAATATCTCTCCAATAGACACATCAGTAATGACGGCGGTTTTAATCATAGCAATACCGAAGAATGAGTAATGTACACCAATTCAGTTAAAATATGCTTTATTAGTACCTTTCATTGTACGACTCAAATGTTTCTGAATCACTGTATGAGCCTAATTTCTTCTTACGTTCAGATCTTTTTCGCATCGATGGTTTGATTCTTTCGAAGGGAAATCTCTTATCCTCTGCTTGCAATTCACGCCGCTTATTTTGTAATTCTTGAAATAAATTCCATTCGCTCAGCGACACACAAGCTATTTTTTCTGCGAACTCTTTTGCATTGCTGTTGAGAATTTTCTTTAATGTTGGGTTTTCCTGAATTAAATACAAGTAACTGATTCACTGCTTCATCACTGTTTCAACAAACATATGATAAATAGAAGCGGGAATGTGTATTCGAAAAACAGTATATGGCATATAATAACGAAAATAAATACAACACAAGATACAGGCACAAATAAATTTACATAAATACAAAGTTTCTAGATGCTATTACTAGAATCACTTGCAATTTATTTACAAATATCCCAGACTTAATTTTTAATGCAAATTTAAGTTTTCTCATAATCAAAAACTCGCACCATTCTTAATTGCGGTCTTTTCGGATCTGGAGTTTTATAAGAACCCGTTTTCAGTAGAAACTGATGGCGATCCATCACTTCATTCAGGGAAATATGAGCAAGGTTTTTGCACCCCGCAAAATCTTCACCTTCCATGAGCATATGACAATAAATGTACTCAATTATTAGTTCTGCTTCTCTTGTGTCACTTAGCAAAAGTTCAGGCGAAGAATTCAGTAACGAATAAAACTAAAATTCAAATAGATTTAGGGTCATCAATAAAAAAATTACTTATTTTTGTAAAAACACAAGTAATCTTGATTGATGACACTCATTGCGAAGTAATGTAAATGACAGCTCTCCAAAAATCTGAATCTTGAATTAATGATAATTCAAAATGGAAAGCAGAGTAAAACGAACTTAGTAGACTTTCTAAAATTAGCATTCATGAACTTTTAAATCTTATCAACTTGAAACATACTTGATTCTTATTGAAATAAGAGAACAAATTTTCGGCATTTTGGCTTAATACGTCTGATTTATGGCAAAAAAGTAGGGCAGGGCATGATAATACCGCTTTACCTAATTTTTCGTCTATAAATCCATAAGACTCCAATACTTCCAAGCACTTTTGAATTTCTTCAGCTCCTGATGATAACAGTTCTTTGCTATACCTGAAGATGAAAATGTGTTTACTTTCTTCTTTGATCAACGTATTAATATATAATTAACAATAAGTAAGAAACTTTACTAAAAAGCAGGCTTCGTTTTTCGTGCACTAATTTTTGCTAAGCTGCATTATACGTAAGAAATTACTAATATTTACGTGGCAAAAAAACGAATAGCATCTTCGTAGGTAAACTGGCAAAAGTCGGCAACAATTTCAATGATTTCAATACTTGTATCTCCTTTTCGCGTTAGAGATGTGAAAAGTTCAGGTACACAAATACATGAATCAACAATAAAGTCCTCTCGAATTCCTGAAATAAAACAGCCAAAGGATAACTACTCCAAAGACTTATTATCGGTTGCAAAAGATCAAGTAAATTTGAACAATTTATTTTTTTGCTACTTTCCATAATTTATTATGAATAAAAAATTACCAACCTATATTGAGAAGAATTTTGAAAGGTTTCGCGAGGGCTTCCATAGCTGAGCTGTCATTGATAGGAAGAATAAATGACTTCCCGTTTGCTTGCAGTTTTGCCACTATTTGTTCAACAATATCCAAACTAGAGGTTGATTCCTTAGCTACTAAACTTGCACTTCGTTTTTGAACCTCTTTATCAGAGAATTTCGTCTCAAGACATGGATCGTTTTTATTATTTACACAATAGTTCCTTCTTTGCAAGTGATATTTCATACTCTGCTCAAGTCTACATCGTGGCACCTAAAGAACATGTATCAATATTAGACAGCAAGCTATACAAAAATTAATTTTACTATCACATTTATTTTTATAGTTCAAGCAAACTTACACTGAATGAACTCAGTGTTACGATTAGCTGTCGTCTCTCCTCCTTTGGTACACATGTCGAAACGAATTGACTAAATCTATATTTAATACAATGCGTTAGAGGTGATAATATCACAATATTCCGAATCAAGCTAGTTGAAACCATATTCTAAAACTGATCATTGTTTACATCATAATCGAAATAAACTGTGAAAGCCTTATCTTGCTCCTAATACTCCAGTTTACATACAACAAAAGACAAAATCCTCATACATATTCCACATGTCACGAAGAAATCAATTTTAAGTCCTATTACTGACATGTTCCCAATCATTCCAACCAAATTTAAATTTCCTACAGTTGATAGCTCAGAGCAAATTACAATAAAACTGAATGTAGAGAAATTTTTCGTGACAAACATGCTACAAAAAGGAGAAAATACCTAGTCAAGGTAACTAGTTACATACAAAATATAATTTAGAGCCAGATTCGTGAAGCTATAGCTCTCTTATTATTTGCATGTTATTCAAATAGATATTAGCCAAGACGAATCAATACTTTTTTGTTTTTCATCTTAAGAAGAGACTATTTATTATAAATAAAAAAACATGTGTTACAATAATCACTACTACAGACAACACGAAATTAAAAATAATACAAATGTAAAAATGATGAGTCCAAGCTTTGAAAAAAAGGAAACTAAAATAATACTCTGCTAGTCCTGTTAAGCTTACTCCTATAAAAGTTTTTAAAGACCGAACATTTGCAAAATCGGTGCTCATTCATGATATACATTCCTTAAAAACAGAAAATATAAGATCTTAATAATGCAACAAACAGCAATAGAAATATGCAAAAGTCTAAAAAAACACAAAGTTCTCACATTTCGTTTTTTTCACATTTTTGCATATTTTTCTGACAACTTGGGCAACATGATTCAACAAAAAAAGATTGCACGAGAATCGATAGAAATCAGTCTCAAACGAAGCTCTGTGAATAAGAAATAGACTTCAACACAAGAGATCTACAACAAATAAAAGCAAAATGCTAAGATTCAAGAGACTTACCTCTCTTCATCAGATCATCATCAGTAAAAAATAATAGAGAATATAAAATGCGGTAAGAAAGTGCTACAAAACTCAACATTCAGTATAATTCTAAGAGATTATTCAATGAAAATCATACAAACCCGATTCAGTGTTTCAACTTTGCGACGACGTAATTAGTTGCAATAATTAAAAAGAGTGAATAAAACAAAATGAATAAATACGCAACATATCTTAACTTTTCAAGATAAACTTTTAAATGCCCTTATAAAATTATGTTCTTAAAAATAAATAATCTGTGTATATGCAAATAGAAATGAATGATGATAAAAAACTTCAACTTCTTATTTTATGCCATTTCATTACCATGGTGCAAAGTGTGCAATGAAATTCTATAAAATGTCTGTTGGAGTTAGAAGCAATATAATTTTGTCAGACAAATACGCTCATAAAAAACTGATTCTTTGAAATGATAAGAAGGCGTTATTTAGAGAAATTCACTTCTGAAGAGAAATTTACACCATACGGAGTTGATAATCTCCATTCTGTGTAATATAGCGCACCCACGGTAAAGCTTGATAACCACTTTTTTCGATAATCTTGAGATAACGCACCTAGAAAAAAAACATTGATTATAAAACGCTAAAATAATAGCTCAGATAAAATGTTTTTAATTTACAAAAAAATAATAACTGAAACACACAAAATCAAAAGAAAATGAAACAAAACGAATTAAAGTTGCAAATTTAATGACTTATTCTAAGAGCTGAGCTAAAGGAATAATACAAAAGCAGGCGCAACGCCATAAAAAATCCCATCAAAATGAACGAAATCAATGTAACTAACAAGGCAACAAAAACAAAGAGAAGAAAAAAAAATAGAATTTAAAAGATATAACGGGACCACTAACATACTTCAAATTCAATTTTAAATAAACTTAAAAAACAAAACCCAATATCGCAACATACCTGAATCCCAGACGTAGTGAAATACGGAATTTCGAATTTTACTTTTATTGGTGGACGGCCCTCTCGATCCTCACTTTGAACTGAGGGTAGATTAAAATGTGCCCGCATCAAGTATTCTTTTCCACCTATTATTACATTTCGTCGTTTCATAGTTATGCAAATGTAATACTGAACATTAGGAATATGAAACTCTATCTGCTTTAATAACCGTACTAATTTGTAGCTACCATCAACCTCCAATGAGGTTATTGCTGTTATTTGTAATATCACTTTACCTAAATAAGAACAACGTTTTTCCATAAATTGGGATTATATAATAACATTACCTGGAAAGCTTTTAATAGTCCAAACAAATGAATTTTGTTCTGGTGTGTATTTAACTGTTCCAATGGAGGATTTGAACTTTGGTGAATCAGCATCACTTTGTACCGGGACCACAATTTCTACATTATTTGCTGTGGAACGTCGTTTGAATTGAGATTTAGCCTACATCAAGTAATACGTGATAGCAAAAATACATAAGAAAAACTATTCCCAAATTAATAATTAGAAAGTTGCAGAGATTTACAATGCATACAGAATTGACTCTCAAAAATTAACCAGCATTTGCTTTGCGATGGTCTGCAGTTAAATAATAGTTAGTCAAGTTTTAAAACAAGTTGTACTGATTTACAGTTGATTTTCACGAAATAAATTCGAATTTTTTAAATGAAAAAATCCTGAACAGATTTTAAAGTATGTAGTACCTAATCACCTTTATCATATATTCAACTCTTGAATGAGTGTGCCTTTCAACAACTGCTTCTATCCAAATAAGTGGTTTAACAACTGTCATCAATCGATAATTCATCAATTCAAATTCACCATCAGGTGGTATGAAACTGATCGTTCTGTCATTTTCAAAACGTGATAAGCGAACACATTGATGAAATTTAACATCTTCCAATTCAACCGATTTATTTTTACTTCCTATAACGACTTATAATATTTACATTTCAACTTTAAACATTCTTTGTTATGATAATCCGAAAAAATAAAAATACCATTATCTACTTAATATTAACACTTTACTTTATTCCAGAGATACATGTTATGTAATTAAACGCTTCGGCAAACAAACTTACTTCCGCTACTTTCAAATAAAACTTTGTCATTTAGACCCAAGCGTAATTCCGGCATACCAGTTAAATAAACTCGCATCTTAACCGAACCCACTATTTCACTTTGCAGCACTGCACCATTTGCACTCGCCTATAAAAAACCTTCCCAGTGTAAAACAAGACTATATCAAGAAAAAATATCCCCAAATTAATAGTTAGAAAGCTAAAGAGATTTACAATATCTCATATTCTTCCCAAACCTAGCGTAAAGTCACAAAATTAGATGAAAAGACGGATTTTGGGAAATATCTCAAATATTTCAAAAGACTGCACGCGTATCTTAATCCTTTCTTAAAACAACACTTCATCATAAATGAATACAACACAAAAAGTAAAGCACTCTACGCTTTATTAGGTTTAAAAATAGACAGAAACGAACCAGCAAATTTACAGACTCAATAACATCCAGAAATACTTCATTTTTGCGGTACTTGAGACCTTCAGAACGCCAAGAAACGGCATTTGTGACTGCCATTGGCGGTCGTGGAGCAATATCTAATTTGTGTCCTTCTTGCGTAATGAATCTATACAAATAAGCAAATATAATTATGTCAAAATGTATACAGTTAGATGGCACATATAAATGACATCTAGATAACAGCGCAAATATACGAAAAAAAGTTACATGCACTTACTCTTGCAGAATTTTTCCTTCTGTAGTTTGTGGAAAACCGAAATCCATCATTTCATCAAGTAGTTCATATATCACGACAAAATTATCACGAACTGACTCTTCTTCAACATCTTTAAAATAATCTTCAAAGACTCCCACAACTTTGTATAAAAATGTAAGTACCAGCGCTACGTTGACATTCCTCCGTGATGTCGATACAACTAAAAAAAATAACTGCATACAAAAAAATAAATAAATTTCACTCATATTTCATTACAAAAATGAAATATGATTGAGATTTTGATGAAATTTTTAGCTATATCAAAAATAAGACATAACGAATGACGACAAAGACTTAATATTAATCATGAAATACCGTCACTAAAATATCACATATCTTAAAATATCTTTGGCTAAAAAACACAAAAATTAAAATAAATATAAGAATGATATGAAAATATAAACTTTGTGCAGCAAGAAAAATGTACAAGAATGATAAGACCTTACAGTACAGGTTTGAATGTTTGATATATATGAATGTGGCTTCAGGATGTTCAAGAGCTGGACTCACGCGGCTTTCTTCCTCCCGTTCTAATAACAGTGGCATGAATCTATCGATGACACTCATCTCTACATCCCCTCGATAATTCCTCGATATTATAACCTAAAAGTCTTTTCTACTTTAATCAGCTTCACTGCGTAATTGATTAGACAACATATGTTCTGGAACAGTTTTACATGTTTTGTTTTGAAAATATAAAACAAATAAATCGTAACAACCACCAAAACAATGGAATTTAGAGAAACAATCCAACTGCCACAATAAATACTTGTTAGCTGGAAATGACCCCACGAGAAGATTGCTAACTTACTTTTCCTTTGAGATCAAGTATGTAGATTGCTGAAGAAGACATCTTTCACCAGCTCTCAAAGTAGAACAATGCCGGGTTTAATTTATTTGTTACAACTCACATTGCAAGTTAATTAAATCAAAAGCATTTACTTTTTGCTTTATTTAACAACATCCTACAATGCAACAGTTTTGTATCACAAAAGATGAATTTCTAGTTTCAGATTTTCGTTTGTTTAAAGAGGAATTATCGATATTAGATGATGACCTGCATTTTCCTCATTTCAAGTCATTAATCTTAGCAAGATCCAATTCAAATAAATCAATCTGGTTGGATAATAAAAAAAAAACACTTGCGAAGTAAGTTCCGGCATGCTGCGATCACTTAAATAAGACAGCTGCACATTGCAAGTCTCACTGTTTCAAATTTAGCTAACGTTAGACGGCTTTTCTTAATGTTTGATCATTCTGATGCGTTTAATAACTTTTTTCTCGCAAGCACTGAATGTTTTCCGAGTTGCACAGTACTCTTCTACTTCCCATAATGCTTACAATATACGGTATTATAATGTTATCCAATAGTGATTTTTCTTTATTGTATTCATCCTGCGTTTGATATAGTTGAGAAATTGCTTTGTTAGATGCTAATACATTTGTATTACTAGTTGAACTTGTTAAGTAGCATTCATTTTTGATCACAAGAATAGCTGAACTAATTTATCTGCGAGTGATAAGAGTGCTCTTTATTCACTTGTCTACAAAAAGTGTTTGGAAAAGTTTCAGAAGAATGATGAAGAATTTAAAAGTGATTGGTTGTGCAAATGGTAGCGGTGGACCATTTATGGGAGCTGATAAGGGAGTAGAAATTATGCAAAAATCAGATTTTATGAAGTACTTGAAGATTAACTACGAGTGGGTAGATGTGATTGAGGAAAAAGCAACAGGATTGCAAGTGGATGCCTTGCCTGGTTTACTACCATAATTTTCATTCCTATTATTAATTATCTTTAATTGTGCTATAATGAATTATTCAACTTGAATTAACTCACATGCATACCTATTATTCTGTACATATTTTGTTAATGTAATTTCAACAATTCATTTTTGTGTAGTTTATTATGGACTGTATGGATTGGTTTACAAAATTTATGATCATATACGATTTAATTTTTTTATTAAAATGAGCTAAAATTAAAGGTGTCATCGATACATCATTACGGCTAGCAAAAAGAACTTTTGAAGAGATTAAAAAGGGCCATGACTTATTGGTGATTGGTGGGGATCACAGTAGTGCCATTGGTACTTGGAGCGGTGTTTCATACGCCATAAAAAATGATGGCAAAATTGGTTTGATCTGGGTTGATGCACATTTAGATGCTCATCAGCCATCTACAAGTCCTTCAGGTACATATATTTTGGTTTATTTTATTTTCTTTCCAAATATTAAAACTTAAAGTATTCAAAAATTCATATTTCAAATGTAAGTTATACACACAAAAATAGTATTCTTGAACTGACAGTACGAACAGTACAATGAAAAGAAGCATGAATAGATCTAAATACGATTAATTAGAAACTATACACTAATATCAATCTGTGAGTTAATAAAGAGTCAATCATATCTTGGACAATTTCTATACTTCCGCATGCAATGACCAAGAATACTTTGTGAAAGTACTAAAGCACTCTCTGTTGCTTGTAAACACTTCCACTTTAATGCTTTTTCATGTTTAGTAATTCACCATTTTGAAATGCTGCTGCAAATTTGAAAAATAATTTTGAATCTGTGTAGTACTTACTCTTCATTTTCATGCTGAAGAACAAAATAATATAGTTGAAGCCATGAAAACAGAACAGTTTTCTTATTCAAATTTTTGTAGGAAATATTCATGGTATGCCAGTGGCTCATCTACTTGGATTTGGCCAGAAAGCTTTATATAATCTTTTTGATTATTTTCCAAAATTGGATCCTAAATATATTGTATTCATTGGAGTGCGTAGTTTTGAAGAAGCTGAGCGTGTTTTTTTGGATTCTCTTATGGTTAAAATTTACGAACAAAGTGAATGCGATGAAAGAGGAATTGATGTTGTATGCACTTTTTTTGTGGAATAAATTTTCATTTGGATTGTTCAAATTATGGTCATTTTTGATGAGTATAGAAATTCTTTTGTAGATTTTGAAAGAAGCAATCAAGCTTGTAAGTGATGGAACAGTCGGCTTTGGCTTAAGCATTGATATGGATGCTTTCCGAGAATCGGACTGTCCGGGAGTCAGTACTCCTGCGGAAGGCGGAATTGTCGCCCAAGAATTTATTGCAGCAATTAAAAAAGCAGATCTTACAAAACTGATTGGTGCGGTTTCAGATCAGTCAATCATATATAAACAAAACAAATATCAAATGTTATTTCTTGAAACAGAAAAAAACGTTAGAAAGTTTGCAGCAGAAATTTCTGTAAATAAAGTTACGCTGACATATTGAAATATTAATCCTTTTTTGAAAAGTAAAATCAAATGAAATTAAATTCCAATAATCATATTTTCAGGCCTGAATTTATTAATAAGTTGTATTATTTTTATTATGAATATGAAGTGCTAGTAAGAGTAGTATAATTTTTCATTTTTATTTTTATTTAAAAATGAGAAATATTTTTTCAAAATGAAAATGTGCTTAGGTAAATAAATTACAGCAACGGAAATGGTTGAATTTATGCCGAAGAAAGATAAGGAACGAAAGACTGAGAAAGTTTTGGTGGAGTTAGTCGATGCTATTTACGGCAATAAGTTTGGAATGGAAAATGAAAATTGAATTCTTTAGAATCACAGTGTAAAATGTAAAAAGACAAAAGCAGAAGACAGATTTATCACGTAGGTATCCTTTTATCTTCTCGGATTTATGCTCGTCACCTGTTTGCTGGATGCTTTCTCATATTTCAGCGCTGTTATACAAATCCAATTATGAGAAAATTAGCTCTTAGCAGTGTAATGCTTAGCAGCACGAGCTAACACTTGATAAGTTGTTCACGTTATACATTTAACAGTATTATATCTCTTTCCTAAGTGTTTATAAATGAATTCGTCTTTGTCGTTAATATTTTATCGATGAATTTTGTTCAAATTGTTTACGTACTGCTGCGTTATGATTTTTTAAAATGTAAATAACAGATGGAAACAAATAAAATTTTTGTTCGCTCATGAATAGCAAAATAAGCAAATAAACTAGTTGAAGATGAAGATTTTTTTTTGAATATTTCAAGTTGTATTTCCGTGATGGTCATTGTCTCCGCTAAGCTTCAATTGGAAATAACTGTAATCTCGTCATTTATTCAAAATGGAAATTAATTACTTTAATGCTTGCAAACATGGGAATTGAATTTAAAAGTACTATAAACATTTTAGTAGAATAAAAATTATAAAACATAATACAGTACAAAAAGAACATGAAATCAGCTTTAATATCGTTTACATCGCATAATTCTGGAAGAAATTAGTTTCGGCAAGAAAAAGGCAGTTAAATTTTGTCAAAAAAGAAGAGTAAAGCTTTGTTGAATTTTTAGTACATTGCTACTAATGTACATTAACTTCTTTGTTGTGTAGTCAAAGTAAAATTTATACATACAATAACTTATACAGCTGTTTTTAAAATAACCTATAACCCCTAAATAATCAGTTCATACTAAATATTCTTTGACGATATGCTATTTAAACAAATGTTTGTTTGTTTAAAAAAATTTTTGAATTATCTTTGCAAATCAAAAATTTTGGTAAAATAAGTTGCAAAATAAAATAATATTTATTTAAACGCTGAACTATGAGTCATTTTAAACAAAATGCTGCTCTATTTTTGCAAGTATTCACAAAAAGTTTTGAAAAAATGCATATCGAAGGAAGTTTGTTGCAATCTCGCAACATTGTTGATAATCGTTAGTTTACATCTTGATAGTACTCTAATCATTATCAACTATATTTACATATCAGTTGATAATCATTATTATACGAGTGAAATATTACCAACGAGTTTAAAATGCTAAACATTATCTTTGAAGAGTTCTTGAAGAATCATGCATATTAATTCTTAAAGTGATTTAAAACAGTAATGAATTCGATTTGGAAAGAAGTGGTGTAAAATTTGCTAAGAAGTCGTAACTTGAATTTGAGACAAAAATAATTGCGATCTGTTTATCATTCAAGATAAATACAGACACATCTTATCGCTTTTCACTGACTGTCTTCAAAATGATACGCTTTTAAACCCTTATATATTAAACTTAAATTACTTTAAGTAAATTACTTTTAATAATACTTACACTTTTTAGTAATACGTAATTATTTATGAAGACTTTTGTAATTTTTGTAAAAATAATTAACATATTGATATAAAAATAGTAGTATTAAACATACAGTAATACAAAACAAGCAATAAATGCTAAAAAAAGATGATTTAAATCTGACAAATATCAATCTCATAGCATTGAAATGTTTCAGTGTATTCAGTATGTAACTTAAAGCGATTTTTTAGATAAAGCTTATAACTGTTCTATTAATCTTAAAGACAACTGTTTTATCAATCTTATAATTAATACAACACTAATAACTGGCCATTGCCCAAAGATTTTTCTTGCTCCTTAAAAATGTCTACCTTTGCTTTGACGCAAAAAATATTCAGAGATTGAGATTGGCTACAGAATTATTCATTTTATTATTAATAGCAGTGATAATGCTTATCACTATAATGCAGTATTTTTTGCAGTCAAAAAAATAAAAAGCAGTGAATATAAAGAAAAGAAGACAATACCACCAAACCTCAACAAATAGATTTCTGGAAAAAATAACTGATATAACTAATGACAAACATAACTTTTCCGAATATGCCAAACACGCAAACAACACGTACATCTAATATTAAAGTGAATGTGATTACTATCAATCACTTAAAATTTCAAACTTTATTTGAATAATTTGCTATCTTAGCTTTCTATTCAGTCTTCAGACAAAAAATCAGTATTGTAGGTGTTTGTGTTTCTCTATTGTCAACTATTTGTCAATTTCCTGAAGCAAATCAGAATAAATCAGTCGTAATTACAGTTTAGAATTGTTTTTCAGATCAGAAACAGTTTCTTGAGAAGTTTGTTCTTAATTGATTTAGAATTTAACAACATTTACAAACTTTTTCTTTCAAGTTTTTAAAATTTGATTAAGTGTAATGAACTTTCATTTGCTCTGTCCTGAAATGAGTGCAATGAAAAAAGAGCTAAGTGATTTTTGAAATATATTTCAAAAATATTTTTTTTGAAATATATTTCAAAAATCACTTAGCTCTTTGAATGCTGACGTGAGAATTATTTTTTATTTCAGGCAAATGAAAAATCAATCAATCGATGATAGAAACGAAACTTCAGAATCTGTTAGAAATGAACGAACACATCAATCATCATCAACTGATGAGGAGGAAGGGGAAAAATAACTGAAGGAATTGAAGGATGAAGCTTGTCTTATTATGCATCTCAATATTTCTCACATTTCTTAATGACATTTTACTTCAAAAGTATGCACTGTAATTACTAGCGAGAAAACTGTTAAAGCATAGCATTTTGTTTGAATAACGAAGGTAAGAGAGCAGTTATTTTTAGTGAAAATAATTTTCACGTCTGCTTTTGCATATTTTTGCATAAAAAAGTGTACTACTTTTGTAAACTATATCCGGGGAAAGCATATCATACAAGAAATACTGAAATTATTTATCAACGAATCTGAGGATTCACAAAAGAAATCTATCTATCTACTTGTAAAATCATCAAAATTGATCAAATTTGCTGAACTGAAAGAAAAATTTATAGGACAATGCATATTTTTGCATAAATTTATTACAACTACTGCTTATTTTTGCATTTTTATTACTGCTCTCTGATTAAAGTTTACTTAGATGAAAAATTGTAACTGTCAAATGGACTTATTAAGTCTTGAAATGTAAATATATTTTTGTGTTTAATGAATTTAGAATACAATTGAATTGAACTAAAACAGTGAAAATAGTTTATGTATTTAAATTAATTTGCTAAATGTGATTGCTACTGCTATTGTTTTTTATTATCAATTGAAGTGAACAGTAAAGTAGAAGAACATTAATTAAATTATAATAAACAACGTAATTTTCTTCGTATAAGAAATTGCGTGGCACTAAACTAACTTATCATAATCTTATGACTTGTGATAAAAATACATCGACATTACTGTACTGTGATAAGTTTGTGTGATAAAATTAATCAAATCTTAAAAAAAATTCTGAAGCAGTCAAGTTAGATATAGCCTTTGCAGAATTAATGTACATCTCAAAAGTAATCATCGACGAGACCTTTTCAACTTTTCACCAAATTTAAATGCATTAACTCAATCAATTTATTATTAGTGAAAATTATTTCAGCTTTTCAAATAATTTTTTAATTGCTAATTCTAATATTTGATCAATGTTTGCATGAAAATTATTACAGCTATAACTAATTTTGCAATAATTTACACAAAATAAATTTATTTGATCTTAACAATGAAATAACGTGAGTGTTTTTTAACAGTGAAAAAACGTGTTTTTTCAATTGAAAAATTTTGATCTACTTAGTCATTCTAAAATGATTAATCTGCAACAAGTAATAATCATTGAAAACGAAGAAAAACACGTTATTTCATTAAAAATTAGCAATTGAAAAATTATTTGACCAATGAAAAAACGTGTTTTTTAACAGTGAAATAACGTGTTCTTCTTTGAGCAATGAGATAACGTGTTTTTTCTTTAAAGTGAAATGACGCGTTTTTTTTTTTAACAATAAAATAACGTGTTCTTTTTTGAACAATGAAATAACGTGTTTTTCTTCGTTTTCAATGATTATTACTTGCTGCAAATTAATCATTTTAGAATGACTAAGTAGATCAAATAGCTGCATTTGTGTGTTTTAGCTTATTTCACTTTATTTACGTCACAAAAACCATTCTGACTTTACTTGCGTTCAAAATGCTATTCTGATTCATTGACAAAATGCCACATAATAGCTTCTTAGTTTTTCTTTCGGTGGCAATGCTTGCTATGAAATAACAACGTGTTGCAATGGTTGTTATTTCAAATGCAAACATTTTGATTATTCATTTCTTCAATCTTTTTTCAATTATTACAGAAAACTTAATCAAATACAAGAAAGTAGTACACTGCATCTTTTTCAATAATACAAACATACACACACGCACACACACGTACACACACGCACACACATATACACGCACACACACATACACGCACACACACACATTACACATACAAATTTCATTATATACAGACATACAGACTTATATAAATACACTCATTTTGTTGAGTCATTTATTATTGTAATAGATCAGATGTGCACTCTCGAATGTGAACTATTTAATTCTTTTTTAGTCTGTGAATTCATAAGAAATTATCGTAGTGCTTTTGTATTGCTATTGCTGTCGCGAGTATTATTTTTGTATGAAATCTTTGATAAATTGCAGTATTTTTGAACAAATGTATTATACATACTTACTTATTACTTTTATCATTTACTCTTACAGTAAGTATACTTTGCAATTGGCTAATACTGTCTGATTTAATTGATAAAAATTTGCATAATTTTAATTTTGAATAAACATAAAGAGCACTTTTATGTATACACACAAACTGTTATTATCAAACTGAAATTATTAGTGTTATTTGGTTTTGGTTTGCAATTAGTCTTATATTAAAGCATTGCAACGACGTTTTCATTCTTTTTCTCTTTGTAATTTTGTGCAAATTTGAAGCAATTTTCATACAATGTACAAATTGAATGCAGTATGCATTGCATTCATAACGTGTATATGAATTTAAATTTTAGTTACAAATTGATCTTATCTGATTGATTACGT